TTTTTTTTTGAGCGCGAACTCGCTGCATAATGGATACAAAGCTGGTTCGTTATAGAGCTTTGCTTCTAAGCTGCATACTACTCCGGAGCGATTTAAGCTGGCAAAGAGGCTGTTCTTGTCGGTATGGTGAATGAACAAATGTGAATGATCTGCGCTTCGTTGAAATAAGATGTTTTGAAACTTTTGATCTGACTGAGTACATCCACCAAGAAACCTGGCTGGCACAGTGATACGTGGCACTCATAACATCCGTCCATGTTCAACAACAAAAGAGCATTTGAATTTATGTAGGGGTTTTTCAGGGAATAAGCACAGCAGCTTCTCTCAGGATATATTACATCAAATTTATTGCCCCTAGAGAGAGTTCGAAGAGCAATAATGAGTAAGTATTCATGGCTTTTTGGGTGCGGAAATCAGCTAGAGCGGTGTACAGTAGCTTCGTGTGGAATATCAGAGATTGATAGAGCTTAGGCAGCACGTAGATCTTGCAAAGTTCTTAACATGATTGATTTAGGTATATATCCTGAGTTTGCTCCTCAAAACAAGGACCTCGACAAAGCTGGAGAAGACTTCCTTTTCCATTTCGGGTTTGGAACGAAGACCATGGATCTGCCGAAAGTTTTTGGCGAAATTAAGGTGTGCAGATGGCAAACATCTTAGTCATTACAAGGCACTAAAAATGCATTTCTGTTTGTCTGTGCTGGCGGTTCTCAAAATAGAATGAAGCTGTTTGCCGAAACATTTGCCAAAGAATGCAAGCTGGAATGCAGCGAGAACCTTTCGAAAACCGATCGTTTCGTACTTTATAAGACTGGAAAAGTTTTATGGGTGAACGTAAGTTAACTTTGGAGAAACTGCCTAGCTCCCAAAATTTATTTATTCATTCAGCATGGCATGGGATGCCCATCACTAAGCATTATGCTCACTGAGATGTTAAAACTTATGTACTACGCTAAGGCAAAGGACTTCAGGTGAGTACGTTTGGGGTGTTGCAATCAGTAAGTCAGTTCATCTAGATTCATTCGTCTCGGGACATGTGGAGGATTGGGATTGGAAGCGGGAGTAGTGGTTGTCTCCAAAAATGCACTCAACCATGAGCTTAACGAAAAATATACACAATGGGTAGGAGATAAAAAGGTTGGTTCCACGAAAAAACGGAGAGGGATGGCCTTGTACAACATACCATTATACTATCAAACAGGCTTGAAGAATCGCGAAAAATTAAAAAATGTTCCAGTGCGTTACGTGCAGAGGTTCTCTATCCATCCTGCAGAACTCATGCAAAAAATACCCTCGAACTTGCAAGGAGATTTTCTAATTGTTGTTTATGAGCGTTAAGTTCCACAACAAAACTAGCAAGAGCGACATGAGGCAAGAGAGAGACCTTTATAGGCAAAACGGAAAACGACGAAATTAGTAAGTAGAACGGTGCTGCGGAAGTGATAGGGATGCATGACAGAGATATAGAGTTTTATATTTGTGTCATTCTATCAGAATAAAAATACTAATAATGCAATGAAGATAGAAAAAGACCCGAGTTGTGTGAGTTGACTTTTGCCGACAAACACATAGATAGAATAGGAAAGAGAAAAAAAGCAATGAGGAGCATAGATGCATTTTTGACTAAATATTGTAGTCAAAATTCGCCGAAATTTTGGCAAATTCGGCTTCACCCATGGAACTTCACCGCCTGAGCGTTCTGGAACTCTTCACTAAGACTCAAAATTGAATGCGAAAGGACTATGCCGATTTGCAGTTTGAGCGCGATACGTATCTTGATGAAGAATTACGAAACGAACTCATCGCCACAGCTAAGGAACAACAGATTCCCGTTGAAACGGGACTGACTTTATGTTGTGATGAATTTTACGAAGGTACACTTGTCATAAACTCTGATTCGAATTGATTGGCAATATTTAGGACAAATGCGTATTGACAGCTTTTTGCGTGAGTATGCGCCAGAAGAAAGGTACATCTACCTCAAAAAAGCGTACGATAAAGGTGTGCGAAACATTGAAATGGAAAGCGCATGTTTCGCATCCATGACGTTCCGTGCAGGAGTTAAAGGTAAGGTGAAGCACCGAAGGAAAAGCGCCATCAAGAACAGTGACCTGAATCACTCACTCAGTGTTTTCAATTAAAATTTGAAGGCAAGGTTTGGAAAACGTTACTGCAAGGATCTTCTTGTTAGAGCGCAAGTTACGCGTAAAAGTCTGGTAGCGTTTTTGCTTATCGTTAGCACCAAAGATACAAAAGTGAACCAGAAGAGAGGTATACCGGCATAAAAAGAATATAAGGCCCGGTCATTAAGGCACTTAAAAAAGAGCTGAAGCACT